GCCGGGGGGACCATTTTTGCGATTTATGCGTGTCATCCTGCCGTGGAGATATTCTCTTGCGACGAGCTTGATGACAGTGTGGTCTCAAGACTCTCAACGACACCGGCAATTGATATCACAGTGTGCCCATTGAGGACCAGACCCCACTGCAGGATTACTGGGTCTTCCCTCTGTAAGTAATTTAGTACCACATGGGAAATTGGGGCCCGAAGGGTCCTTTGTATTTCACTGGCCGCCAACCAGAAAAGAGAGAAGATAGCCATGTTTGACAATGATTTTTAAGCCATCTTTCCAGAAATCTTTTCTTATAAATGCCTCAATCTTAAGTGAAAATGAAAAAAATGAGAGCATATGGTGGCACTGGTGAACCATTCAAATCTCTTTTCGAATGGGGCAGAGGGCTCGTAGTACCTTTATTTACAGCAGCAGCCTAGCAAAAGGCGCACAGCGCAGCTAAGTTAAACTGACGATCAAATTTCAAAATCAGTTTGGTCAGAATCAACTTCGGAAGTTGCTTCTTGTTTTTTTATGTGTATGCTTTTTTTGAGAGAATAGAAAACGAAAAATGAAAATGTTGATTGTGCAGACGTAAATATAACGTATGTTCATGTTGGATTTGATAACTTGGGCATTCAGTTTGCATTGTCGTCTTGTGAAACATGGTTGTTGGGATGTTAAGAGTCGAAAGGGCTTGTCTTGTGGATGACTGGAAGTTTCGAAGGATGCAGAAAGGAGCGCGAAAAATAAGTTCGCTGAAATCCGGGTGATGATGTTGAGCTTGAGGCAGAAATCTGCACTGTTATGTGTTTTATTGATATGCCAATTTTGTTTTTTGATGGGCCACTCACGGTGAGTGATTACTAATTATGTGCAAAGGAAACTGTGCGGAGTGGATGGTTTCAACCTTTTCTTTTAGTCATAAGGTAGCCTTCTTGGCTGCAGATGTGCAGATAATCAGCTGCGGCTTTGAGTGCTAGTCTCTGGATGGCTGTGTTTGTGTTCTTTCTGCAAGGAAGATGAGCAATAACGAATTCCATACACCAAACAGCATCATACATATGAGACCAGATAGTCGTGATCTCGAACCAGAAGCAGAATCGCATCACGAGTTTCACCAAATAAGAGTCCAGCAAAAGCTCACAAGTGACAATGTGCGAATAATCCCGTCATCATCAACAATGAACCAATGTCGATATCCTATCTGGCGCTCGGCGCCCAGACTACAGATGGCAGATCCTATCTAGCCTACTATCTACAATGCCGCTGATGACGTCAACAGCTTCCCCAAAGTATGAGCAGATCTCGGTCAATGCCGATCGCCTCAAGCACCAGGTATGTCTCTCGCATCACTCACAACCTCGATCCCCCACTCACAGAATGTCACGTGCACCCAAGAACTACCATGCGCCCCGTCCAGCATACAGCAGCGCAGCTCGGCTATGGCTGCCTGCTCCTTTCAGCTCGCCCGTGAGCGCGTGAGCGCTGGCCAGCGTTAGCGCAGCAGCGCTTGCGCAGCATGCAGCCAGTGCCCGAATGTCCAATGCGTGGGCAGGCCCTTTCCTAAATGGAAGTGGCCTGCCTGCCTTGCGTGCGGCCTGGATGCGCTGGGTCCCTGCCCAGAAGCTTCCGGTAGACCCAGGGAGGCTGGGCCTCAGTCCAAACGAATCAGGCCCAGGGCCACCGACAGTTACCCGTGCCCAACTGCCCGCAGCCTGAGTTGGGTCCATGCTGCGTATCTCGCCCAGGGCCGGCTTCAGATGCATTTGATAAAGGAGGCCAGGGCCTGGGCACCTTCAACCAACTGGCGCTGCGCAACTGTCTGAATTTTACCCCAGTTGCAAAGTAGTCCAAAATAGGCCTTTTGTCGTCTATCGAGCCTGCCTTCACTTAGGGCGGCCGACCTGTTGCAAATAGGGGCCCAGTAGGGCTTATTGAGGCCTTGTGCCTCGCATTTCATTTTTAAACTACATGAAGCATACGTTGAGTCGCCAGTGCAAAGTGACAAGCTACTGTTGTTGCAAGTGATGTCTTTTGCAACCCCTTTGGTTTTCGAACTACGTCAAGCAGACATGATGATGCATGTGTTGAGTCGCCCTCTTTTCTACGGACATGGTGGTGACGGAAATTAACCCCTTGCTGATATCATCTTCGAACTGCATTGCAGGTTCTACAGGCCCGGCGAGCCAGACGTCAGGGTGGCAGCAGCCCAGTGTATCTATGCAGTTGGCCACCAGGATGGAGAACTCACTCAGCATCTCCGCCGCAGCCAACATGGATTTGACTAGAGTCGATGCGTCCAAGGTGGAGATCAACTCGGCCGCCGAGTTCCTCTCAGTACGACGCACATACAAGGGTCTGGATGTGCAAGCTCGCAGTGCAGCGGGCGGAAGTGAGGATCAGGTGGATGATGTGCGATCTTCACCAGCTGTCAAAGTCATCAAAGGGAGAAGTGGACGAGCTGCTAGCTATAATGGTGAGAGTGGGAGGAGGAGTAATACTGAATGTTGAAGCTACAGAAGTCTTCTTGTTTCTTCCATTTGCTGTGCTCAGACTGGGATATGGAATGCGGCTCGAGGATTGTCAGTGTGGCCTCCATGAAAAATGAGAGGGGGCAGTGCTGCGCCATTCAGCTCTTGTGAAAGCAGAGTGATTATGGTCGCCAGTTGCAGGGGATATGAGTTCTAGAGGGCAATTCAGGAAATGTATGATTTCAAGTAAGCAAACAGCCGAAGCTTGTTTCGTTGTTTGGTTTGACTCAATGGCATCATGTCCTTCATGGTCTCGATTTGCTCTCCTCTGCACATCCCGTCTCTCTCTCTCTCTCTCTCACACACACACACACACACACAC